AGTTTCACCGCCGTCTGGTTACTGATTCTCTTTACCATCGACCGCGTTTTCACAATCTTTGACCCCATTCGATATCGTGGAGACTTATATTTAAGGATCACATGGATCGGAATTTTTGTCGTTTTTTCTGCAGGCTTCTTTCTTTTCTCTCCTCAGCTGATTTATCGGGGCCTGAAGTATGAATACGGAGAGGAGGAGAATGAGACATGTGTATTGCTTGATCCAAGGCTACCTGGTGTAAATTATCTGTTATTTGTGCAAGTGATTTGTACTCTTGTCTCTCCAATTCTAATCATTTTTGTGCTCAACATACTGATCATAGTCAAGCTGCGTCAAGCAAAGCAAAGTCAACTTCTTTTGCGCTACGGTCAACCAAAACTTTACCAGGTATCTACAAAACCAGCTACTGCTCCTATCTCTCTTGGTCTAAATTGCACGGAAACTAAGGTCACTAGTCTTGGTATCAATGGGTCTACATCGGGCACAACTGCTATAGAGATGTCGCGAATCATGGGCAATCTAGGCCTAACTGTGATCTTTCTTTTCCTAAGCATTCCATTGGCTGTAGTAGTTGTTGTCCGTCAAAACTCAGATAGCATGGGCTACTCCATCACGTATCAAGCATATCACAAGCGACTGGTAGACTTATCTCGCTTCTTCAGTTCCTTCAAGTCATTGAGATACATTATCGACTTTTGGATCTACTTATTATTTATCCTCCGATTTCGACAGACTATGATACGTTTGTTCTCATCCCAATCCAAGGAATCTTGTAGAAGGTCAAAGCTGATGTCCAAACTTTGCTTTTGCTGCTTCTCATCCATGCCAAAAAGGAGGACATCGTTATCTACTAAGAGATTCTCCAGCATACAGGACAGAGAAACTAAGTACAGTCAAACACAATCTCAGTTTTCAAGATTTAAACAAGAACTACAGAATAAGAATTCAGCCAGCATCTTCAGACCACTTAAAAAAACTAATTGGACAAGAAGTAGCATTGCTGATAAAAACCAGATCATATCTTCCGAAACTAGCAAGTTGGTATTACCCGATTCACTGGAACGCCAGCAGGTCGCTAATCCTAACTGCCTTTCGGAAAACATATCTTCAAAGCAAATCGTTAGTGGCCCTTCCTCTTGTACCAGACCAGTGGAGCCGGTTGTGTGCAATTCCCATAGCAGCTTGTCAAATCCCTCATCTTTGTGTATTCGGGACTGGAGCTCTCTAGAGTATGTGGACCAGAGTGATTCATTAGTAGAAAACTTTGGACATTCGATGAAAAGTGATCTAAGAAGTCAACCAAAGTGCTTGGAAGAAGAGGTTGATCTCAACATTCCATAAATCCTAAAGACACGATTTGCATTTTAAACTTTATACAGTATTATTAACAGGTTATACACAATAGTCTGTTAGTTATTTCGAAGTCTATGAATGATGACGTGAGTAAAACAATATGACAATCGTTATAATTTGCTATGTTTAATAGATCAAAAGTATGGCAATATGCTGGAATGCTTGTGCTATTATCGGAACATTCATTAGTCATTTATCTTAGTCAAGATGTGAAAATCAAGCAAATTAAGCTAGTAGACTTGATGATACTTAAGCCTATTTATGCGGTCATCTATTTTGTCAGGCTTGATTTATTGCTCTACCATATTGGACAGAGATCTATGGTAGATAAGAAGTAAGTTGTATA